GTAGACTATTTGGACAAGAACTTGGAACAATAAAATCCACCCCTCTCGACTGACCTGGAGAGAAGGCAACACATTTGAAGCCAACAATCCATTAGCACAATCAAAGTGCTTGGGTGAGAGCAAGAGTGCTGAAAAACATTCACCCAAGCCACAGGAACCACACAAGTGGGTGCAGTCTGAGATGTTGGAGAGAGAAATTGCTTCCATAACCCTGATGTAACTGAAGAGGAACCTAGGGCCAGGTTCTGCCTACTTAAAAGGACAAGATCTCCTAGGTTAGTGTCATAAAAAGTGACAAACCCCACATGAAGATTCTGAGGTTTTAGTTCATCAACTAGGTTCAGCTCCTGATCAATCGATGGATCATCATTAACTTCGAGGGGTAGAAAATTCTCTATATGATTATCCACAACTAGAAGATTAACCTCTATAACATGAGGCTCATCCAAGTCCTACCCTAGATTGTTGTTCAGAAGTTCAGCAAGTCATTAGCTTCTTCTTCGTCCGCTCTTCAACTTCATTGACTTGATCTAGAAAAATATTGGGGGCAGGACCATAGGGCTGAGGAATAATAGGCGAGTCGATGATTACCTCTACCAAATCGAGAACTGGTGCTTCGTTCAGTTTAGGCACCAATGTTCGAGGTAGATCATTCAAGTTTTGGATTGGCACCTAAAATTCATTGTTTGACCATAGGGCCCATCCAAGATCAGCATCCATTGGTTGAGCAACTTGTTCTTGGGCTACATTGTTTGGCCCACCATCATGATTGAGCTGAGGGCCAATTTGTGGCTATTGCCAAAAAGGAGCACTAGCCCCAACCTATCCAAAGCCAAAGAAATTGAAGGGCCATTGGGAGGGCTGTCATCTAGCCCAGGTGCAGGATCTTCATCAGCCGGCAACACACTAAATAGTAGGACCTGGCACTGCATCGTCCAGGATTCCCCATGGTGATCTTCTCCTTGAGTAAGGACCAAGAAGTTGGGAATGGACTCCAAATCACTAACCCTAGCTTTGGTAAGCAATCTGTTGATATAAACTAGGTCATCGATCCAATGTATTACCCTCCCAAAAGAGCTAATCACATTGTTTACATACTCATTTTCTCTATAATCTTATGGAAAGCCCGACAGCATGAGCCAAGACTCCCTATTAAAGTTCAAAGCTCTCCAATTATGACCCTTATTGTGCTCAACAAAAAGTGATATTCCCAAACTGTAGAGGGCTGGCATATGAATCAACCGATCCCTATCAAAAGGGAAATGGAACCTAACGAATGCTTGGCCCAAGTGTGTTGGCTGAATACTCTTTATGGTGATGCCTCTTTCATTCGCCAGGTAATCTGAAACCACTTCATGAATAGACAGGAAGGTTACCCGAACCTCTGGAAGCGGATCAATGGTGACAATTGCTAGGTCGTTGCTCTTGCTCTAGGGACTAATAGAAACCACTCATGTCATCGGAGTGCGACCTTGTACCTCCAGAGTATCCATTCCATGTGGAAGGAAAGGTCTCGGGTCAGCTCTCTGGTATGTCATTGTCATCAGCAGCAGAGTGCTAGCAAGCCAAGCAATAGAGAGGATGCTGCGATCTCTCCGAGAGAGAAGGAAATAATTTATCCCCATGTATAGTGCAGAAAGACGAAGGGCCATCTCGAAGACCGCTCAGCTCAATAGTGGCAACTAGAGGTTTTGGTCCCAGCGTCGGTGAAATCGCCAGCTTGAACCATCGGGACGCATCAAAATCGAGGAGGCAGCACTTAGAGAAATTGTCAACCGGTCTCCTAGCCACCAAATCTTGGATTTTTTCCCAGTCTCGCATGTAGTTTAATGCAATGTGGCCCCACTCCAAACGGCTATTACACTTAACAGGGGAATTGCAAACTTGCCAGAGAGGCAACACGCCGGCACTGCACCGTGCTCAAACGGTTTTCACTTTGCAATGAATGCCAGCCAAATTTGAATTTGAGAAACCTCTTGAGGTACCCAAGCGAACTTCCTGGTCAGCTAAATCACCTAGATTATTGCTTATAGAATAGTGATTGCAATGAGAACGACCAAGCAACTGTTTAGTTGAACCGGCCTTATATCATCAAAAGAAGAATCAACTACAGCCACGTAATCTGATCAAAACAGAAGTCCTTCGGAACTCTAGATGATTGAAGACAGACTTCTTGTGGTTTCGATGAACAATCGTTGAGGAAGAGGAAGTCCGCGACCAGACTGTCCAACCGGAACACTATTGGCACCAGTAAGGACCAAAGCAGGCTTCTTGACAGCATCTACAAATGACAGCTTCTGCTTGGGTCCAACCTCAAACCAGGGGAAGGACTGCTAACCATCGGAGGAGGACAAAGAACAGGCAGCCACAAGACTGGAATCATTAAAGAGGTGAAACGAAAGCTTAAAATCTTCACATTCAAACTTTCTGATCTTATAGACTTCAAAACCCACCTCCTTGCAAGAAACCATGAACAAGAAGACCCGTCTTCAACCAAATAGGCTCTGAAGGAATTAGAGAGTTCTCTCCACAAAGTCAGTTTCCAAACGGAATCAGCATCTGCCAAACGCCACCAACAAGGAGAAACCCGAGCTAGTCAAGGAGGGAGAAGCAACATGAACACCAAACTTTCCCAAGACAAAATGAGCAAACTCGGCACTAGTAGCATGAGAGGCGTTACTAGCCATGGCCAGCAAAGGCAAAGGGAAGACCAGCGAGGGGGAAAGGGAGCGCGAGAGGAAATAGCTGAGGGGCCGTCTCACGGGTGGGAAGGGCTTACAGGACCTTAAGGGGGGCAGGCGTCCGTCCCGTCGCCGACGGAGAGCCCTCTCTCATTTTTGCCGTCCACCTGGTAACTCGATAGATATTACGGAGATATATTTTGGTATTGTGTTGTAAAATGAATATAGAGATAGCACAAAAAGATAAGCTGTTCTAGCGTTAACTTCGAATACATATATCTCATAATATTTTTAATCTATGTGCAGTGTAGGCGTGGAGTTGATAAACCATTTAACATAGAAAAAAATGAAGAAGTTGTATACTCATCACTTGGGTGTTTTAGGGGCATGTGACACCCGAGTGTTGGATGCCGCTAAACACCTGATTGAAAACAGAAACAAAATTGAGTGTTTCTAATCCATAAAACACTCAATTGTCATGACCATTGGATCCAAATCAAATAACTAAAAAATAAATGAAAAATATAGATAATCAGATATTTTCTATGAATTGCAAAGTGAAATATCTCCATGTAGGTTCCAAATTAGATACATACAAACATATATGAAAATTAATAAAACATATGCTTGAAATAAAACAAAGGATATTCATTAAGGTATCTAGTTACAACAATTCTCTCTATAAATTACACCAAAATAATCATTATAAACTTAATATATGTATAGTGTATGCCTCGTTTGGATATATGGGCTAGTTACTAGCTAATTGATAATTTAATATAAATATAGTGTAAGACTAGTATAAATTGATAATAACTATAGTATTTTCAACAAACACAACTTCAATTCTATTACGCCAAATTCCTATGGCGCGCTGTACACTTAATGTTTGGGATATCACCTCCCCATAGCATAGACGATTTATTTGTTAATTGGTCTAAAGCGGGTGGTAACATACATAATTTGTTATTATTAACAGCGGCGTCAGCCTTATGTTGGACAATTTGGATAACAAGAAATGAAGTGGTTTTTGACAAGTGTAGACCGAAAACTTTTTTGCAGGTATTATTCAGGGGAACCCATTGGCTAAGGCAATGGGCAAGACTGCAGCAGCATGATGATCTTCGAGACCAATTGACCCTTGCTGGACAGCATTTGGAGACCTCGGCATTGCATTTTTTTAGTTTTAATGGGTGGTTGTCATTTAGGTTTATTGGTCTATAGTAGTCAGGATCTGCTTCACACTTTGTTATTCTCGAGTCTGGTTGTAGACTCGTTTTGGTTCTTGTGCGTCGGCCGTCGGCCCAAATTTTTAAATAATTGGCCTGATTCTACCCTGGTGTAGACGAAGCCGGATATAAACTATCCTTTATCTAAAAAAACAACTTCAATTCTATTAGATCCAATTTTAGGCAAAAGAAAGAGAAGGGGAAGAAAATGAAAGGAAAGAAAAGGAAAAGAAAGAAAAGAAAAAATTCCCAAAAAAAATGGTTCCATCCTGAAGGCCGTGGCGGACACGTCGATCACCCCTTTTTCTGTCTAGAAAAAAAAAATCCCAAAAAAAGCGAAGCAAATCCAATGGTCTGGATGGACTGGCTGGTCGAATCCAACGGAAGAAAAAAAAATTGTGTGTTCAGAATCTTGAAACACCGGGTATTGTTTAGAATTTCCGAAAAAGAAATAAGTCACATTCCACTTGCCGCACTTTTTTTTCAACAGCAACAATTCTTATTCAATTGGAGACGAGCATCTGTTCATGCACAGATACACCACTTGTGCACTATTAAATCTACAACTACACACAGATAACAACCGCGTTCTTCTTGAGATCACCGAGACCATCCACAACTTCGTAGACGACAAGCATGTCACAATCCCAAGTAACTATAATTTGAATTCACTAGTCGTGAATTCTTCGCTTTTGAGCGGTAAGTATTTCGTAAGGCGGCCTGGGGGTCTTTGAATGACCTAGCGTCCGTCGTCTTGTCCAGAAGAAGGCTTTTTGGGTGTATTTTTCTATTTATGTTCCCAGAAATTCAGTTCACTAGGGAACACCTTACAGGTTGGTGAGCCGAGCAAGGCTCGAACACGCGACCGGTGGCGTCCGCACCCGGAGCGCTCACCAACCGAGCTACGGCTCGTTCCCAGTTGGAGACCTTGACTGTTTCTTACTCAATGGGAGACCTTAGACTCTAGTATGGACCGTAGCAGACCATAAAAGCAGAGCTTCCCATGTATATCTCAATTGCATTTGCATGAGGTATTCTCCACAGGATCCTTTAGCTATCCACCAGTAAACATTGCTGCCAAACTCCAACAATGTCGTCTGCCACAAGACGTTTCCCCTTGTCCGTCGCTTTGCTCTGCCTCTACTTCCGCTCTGCTTCCTCGCTTTCATTCAGCTTGGACTTCTCCAAGACCGGCGACCCCTGCGGCCGAGAGCTGGTGTGCAAGGGCGACGCATCCAAAGGCAGCACCATGATCGAGCTGACAAACAGTGACCCCACGTCGGTTACTGCCATGATCAGCCAAGGCCGGGTGTGGTACGGGACGCCAGTTCCGCTCTGGAACGCCATCACCGGCGAGGTAGCAAGCTTCACCACCACCTTCTCCTTCAACATCACGTGGATGGAAGGCAGCCCTGACTGGGGCGACGGCATGGCCTTCTTCCTCTCGCGTTTCTCGCGCGACAGTGTCCTGGACAGCAATTACGGCGGCGGGTTACTAGGCCTTTTCAACAACGGTGACCACCTGGACGCGAGGGGTGATAGCCAGGTCGTCGCCGTCGAGTTCGACACGCTCCGTAACAATGAATGGGACAGCAGCAGTCAGCACATCGGCATCGACGTCAACTCCATCAGGTCGGTGAACTACAAAAACACGAGCTCGGCGGAGATGAGCAACGCCAAGAACCTCACGTCCGGGTTCACGATGACTGCCACGGTCCACTACGACAACGGGACGAAGTTGTTGGCCGCCGATCTCCAGATCAACGACACCTTCTACCACGTCAGTGCGATCGTCGACCTGAAGAAAATCTTGCCCGGGGAGATGGCCATTGGCTTCTCCGCGGGGACTGGTGTGAAAAAGGAGCTGCACCGGGTCTTGTCGTGGTCGTTCAATTCAACGCTCGAAGAAAAGGCAGCTCCGAGTCCGACGGGCACGCAACCTGCACAGGCTCCTGCTGAAGCTATCAACTCGAAGCCCTTGTCAAAACCACTAGTATTCATCAGGGTAGTAGTTCCTGTAGCGTCTGTGTTGGTCATTGCAATAGTGGTGGCTCTCCTCGTATGGCTACGGCGGCGGAGGCCCAGAGAAACGGTGGAAGCAAACGGCAGTGCTACTGCTGAGTTCGAGATGGGGATCATCGGGCCAAGACGGTACTCCTACCGCGACCTCGCCGCCGCGACCAACAATTTTGCAGAGCGGAATAAGCTCGGGGAAGGAGGTTTCGGCAGTGTGTACAAGGGCCGCCTCCAGAACGACGACGCTGACGACGGCGACGGCCAGGTGGTGCTGGTGGCCATCAAGAGGTTCTCGTCGTCTTCTCAGTCTCAGGGGAGGAAGGAGTTTGAGGCCGAGGTGAGGATCATAAGCCGGCTGAGGCATCGCAACCTCGTGCAGCTCTTGGGCTGGTCTGACAGTCGCAAAGGGCTCTTGCTTGTCTACGAGCTCGTGCCGGAGGGGAGCCTAGATGAACACATCCACAGCAACAACAAGTTGTTAACTTGGTCCGAGAGGTACGTACGTACGATGAACAGGCTGGTTCGATTTTTTTTTACCATTTCTCTGGTTCGATTTTTTTTTTACCATTTCTCTGATTTTTTTGACCATTTCTCTGATTTTTTTTACCATTTCTCTGGATCTTTTTCTGAGGTGAGTATTCGTCAAATATGTGGGGCCCATCCTTCCCTCCAAATCGAGAGGACAAGCTCGTCCCTGCTGAAGAGTTAATTCCTCAGTAATGCTACTTCCGTATTTTTCAATAAAATTAATCAGTCAATTGTGTTCTTTAATTGATATATAGGTATAATATCATTCTGGGGCTAGGGTCCGCACTACGCTACCTGCACCTGGACTGGGAGCAATGCGTTGTACACGGTGACATCAAGCCGAGGAACATAATGTTGGATTCATCGCACAACACTAAACTGGGCGACTTTGGTCTCGCCCGGCTCGTGGACCACGGCGCAGGTCCGCAAACCACGGGGCTCATACAAGGCACCGTGGGTTACATCGATCCGGAGTTCGTCAACACGTTCCAGCGAAGCACCCAGTCGGACGTCTACAGCTTTGGCGTCGTCCTGCTAGAGATCGTCTCCGGCCGGCTGCCTGCAAACCGCCGGGAACCATCTTTCATGCTGACTAAGTGGGTGTGGAGCCTTTACAGCCAGGACTTGACCCTTGAGGCCACGGACGCACGGCTGAGGACGATGGACGACGACGCCAGCCAGCGGCAGATGCAGCGCGCCCTTGTCGTGGGGCTCTGGTGCGCACATCCCGACCCGGCAGAGCGGCCGTCCATGGCGCAGGCGATGCACGTGCTGCAGTCGGAGGACGCGAGGCTGCCGGCGCTCTCGTCGCAGATGTACAGGCAGCAGGTGCCGCCGCCGAGCTTCGGCGCGGGCGAGAGCGGTGCCTCTGGCAACTCATTATCCAGCGGCGTCCGCTCTTCCTCGGCAACCACCAGAGTGACATCTTCACCGGAATAGCATGGCAAATGATCGGACCGTGCGTGATGATCTGTTGAATAATTTAAGCCTGCTCTATGTTTCTTCCCATATGCACATAGCAGTGAAGAACAGATATTTTATTTGTGCACTGTCTACATATTTTCCTCTGCGGTTAGCAGGCAGTAACTGAATCCTGACGTCATTCCTGAATCTGTGTCCTCCGAAACTCTATTCTAGCTATTCTTGCTATTGTTGTTCTTGCTCAATCTACCTATTCCACTCAGTTCTCCATTTGGTTCTTGATCTGACAATTTTCTGAAACGAATCGCTTCCCGCTCATGAAGAACTGTAGTTTAATTTTTAAATACAACAATTAGAATTGCTAACTTCAGAGAATAAAAAATAACACAGCAGGAGTAAAAGGACAAGGGACAATCGAACATGCCACGTACGTGACACTTTGATTATTACAGTACAACTTCTAAGTAATTAATGAACAGACTGCGAGACCTTGACTCGAATCTAGTGAAGGAGTCTAGCAAAAAGGCAAACCCTCCCTTCCCAATGGCGTGAGATTGTTCCACTGGATCGTGTAGTCCTCCTCCATTAAACCTACATTCTTACTGCCAAGCTCCAATGACAATGACGGCCACGAGCTCTTCACCCTTTCTCCTCGCTTTCTACCTATATGCCTCTATCCCTTGCTTTTTTTATGAAACAGGAGGAGTTGGAGCTCCTAATAGAATTTCTTTATTAAAAGTAAAGGTAAACAACAAGTCCAAGCTCAAGAAACATAAAAAGACAAAAAGAAAATAGCCAAGATTACACAAAGCTCTCAAACCATTGATCTATGAATGGGTGATGACATGCTTTTGCTCGTAGAATAACTAGAGCAAACTCCTTTTGGAAAATTGTTTTGCATCTCTGAACTGAGTGAGAAATATTCTTGACGATGATGATATCATTTCGCATAATCCAAATTGCCACTAGAGCAAAGCAATGTACCAATGAAGTTCGAGTGTATAACTTCTTTACCAGAATCAGATATAAAAACTATAAAAGAACTCGGATGTATTACTTACTAGAAGGAGCACGTGCGCCGAGGTACACCTTGGAGAAGATTCCCGACAGATTCGCAGCTTGCGTCATAGGGCTTGTTTAGTTCCTAAAAAATTTTGCGTAGTACCCATCACATCGAATCTTGCGGCACATGCATGGAGTACTAAATGTAGACGGAAAAAAAACTAATTGCACAGTTGGATGAGAAATCGCGAGACGAAACTTTCGAACCTAATTAGTCCATAATTAGACACTAATTACCAAATACAAATGAAAGTGCTACAGTAGCTAAAACCCAAAAAAAAATTCATCTAAACGCACCCATAGTTGTACCATCTCGTGTTTTGCTTTCGTATTGTTGTGTCTCCTGGTCAATAGAGTCATTGAGGCTTCATCCAAGATAATCAACGAAGCTTCCTCTAGAAGCGTAGCGTAGCCATCCCACTTTATTATTGTTTGGAAGTACATGATGCCGCCGCCCGTGGGCTATGGGCAAGGCAAGTCAAGTCGCCGACGCCTGTACATGTGCTGAGCTGTGAGCACGTAGTAGGGCTCATCAAGAGCATTTTATTATATGCCGATCGAGGGCCCAGGAGAGGATGACGCGACGTCTGTAGATCGAGTTCAGACGCTCCTCGTCGTCATGCCTACTAACTAGAGCCCCATGCACGTACAATCCATGCCATGAAGATGGACGCAGCGTTCCCAGTGCCGGCCCTAGCGGAAGGACAAGGTGCGACGGCCGAGGACTCAAGCGGAGAAGAGGTATACAAACCTCTAGTCCTATAGATCATTAGACATTAGCAAATTAATAAAAAGATAGATATAGAACTGGCCAGCGACCTAAAAAGACAACATCGACATTTTTTTTCTAGTTTTCTTTCCCCACGGTCCTTGGGTAGAGTGGAGGCGAGGAGTCACGCTGCACACAGCATACTCTGATCGTGAGTTCGCGACGTGCGCTTTACACATGCGGAGCTGGCGAGCCACGCCGCCGCAAAGAGCTAGACTACCGGAGACACGGACACGGCGCACGAGGATGGCGACCAGGCAGGGCTCCACGACGACGACATCTTGATTCTTGGCTTCTTATGAACTGCGATCACCAATCAGATGTTTAGACCCAAGGTATTTTTTTTCTTTTTATTTTTAATCTAAATTCATTATTTGTATAGTATTCCAGACTTCTAATACTTTATACCCATATAGTTATATTTTTCTTCTAATTTAGGTGTTAGAATTTTAGAATATTACCTAAGAACATTTGTCATGGGTGAGAAAATAAAATGAATATATTGCTTTTTAATCTACATTGTTCCTCGATAATTATCATGCATCTACAAATATATTACTTAATCTACATTGTTCATCGATAATTATAAGACATGTTAAATTAAAAATATGTTATTGAATTTATTTTCGTTTTGCAAATAAAATTAGTGTCTATATATTATAAGATTTTATACATGGTCAAAAAAGGCCGTTGCGACGAGATCGCCAGAGGGCCCTCGAAATCCTAGGACCGGCACTGAGCGTTACCAATGGGCAATGGCCGTGGTCTGCGGGCAAGTCAAGTCAAGTCGACGCCTGTGTTGAGCTGTGAGCTCGTAGGCTCATCTCGAGTGTTGAACATGTGGGAAGGCGGTGGAGGTTTGTGGGCCCACATGCCAAGTTGGTTGACCTAGGGGGATCGGCTGACCTCCCCCTGGCTTGTGGGGCCTTCCTCCATCTTCTAGAAGCATGGCCCACTGATCATAGAGTGTGTATGAATCTTGGGAAATGGTTGTCACGTCGGTTTGCTTCTTTGTGGGCCATGAATCCATGTGGAGTTGATGTGAGCCATTGATGAGCATCACATGTTGATCCAAGGGTGGAGACTTCTTAAAATGGTGTTGGGAGGATCATGGAAGCATGATGGAAGCTTGGGATGACAAGTGGGCCCCATGAGGGGGTCGGTCGACCCACCTATGTGGGTCCTTGGTCCCTTGCTTCCATCATGCTTCCATGATCCTCGCAAATAATGACATATACATGTGGAACCAAGTTATTTGTATAAAAATAATTACTTTTATGCATGTTAGCTTCCAAAAAGACTATTTTGTTGACTGTTTGACTATGTAAAAACATGATGAAATTACCATCAATAGTAGCTATGTCTCTTGCTTTGAGTCATTCACTGTCCTGGTTAAAATAATATTGTGCTAAAATTTGATCCAAGTTAAGTGAATTGAAAAGATCGAGATGGGTTTGCACTTGTCACCACATCACTGTATCGAGACTGCTTCTCTTTGCACTTTGAGATGAACTTGAGCAGTGTAGTGGATGATCGAAATCAGTGCCTTTAGCTTCTGATTGCTTTCTAGCATAGGCTGCGCCCGGTTGAAAAGTTAGACAATGACAATGCTTACAACCTCTCGCAATCACATGCTTTGACTAATTCTTGTGTTAAGCCGTGAACTCTGAAAATTTGATAAAATTTGAAAAACACAAGTCTTAGGTTCGTCTTTGGCATGTTGATTGACCGCTATTTGGGATAGTTCACCTGGTATACACTTGTTAGCACTTGGTTGATTTCCTGCTTATATATGCTATGTGCTATCCTTAGTGGTGAACATCTCTTTGAAACTGCTTAAAACTGATCTACATGCTTACACTTGTACATTTTGTTTCATATGATCAGTTTGAGCATCTACTAGCACTTGTATTTGTTGCTATGCTCATAGGACGACACCACTTAGAGCATCTTTTCATTCTGATTGCTATACCCTGTTGACAGTGAAAATGTCATAAAATTACACACTCAAAACACCGTCAACAGCGACGGTTTAAAGGAAGAGAGACATGTCACGAAACATATTTTATCAATAACAAGTTCTACTTGTACCTTGAGGTATTTTTATGCAGGAGATGACAAATGGAGGCAAATGAGCCGATGGGGCCTCCATATGTAGGTCGCCCGACCTGCCTATGGACCCACCAGGCCATGCCAAGGTGGCAGGATCCATGTGAAGTATCCTAGAGCCATTCCCCACCCTTGGATCACACTTGTGTCTTCTCTCAAGGGTTGAGGATGAAGTCACACGAATTCATGGGCCCACAGCGAAGCATCCAACGTGACAAAAGTGGCCAACACACTCCATGACATGTGGGGACACCTTCTAGAAGGAAGTGGTGGAGCCCAGCTACCATAGGCAGGTCGACCGACCTCCCCATGAAGGCTCCAGCCCTCCACCGCCTTCCCCACACATTTAGCACATGCCAAATGACCCTGGCCCTTGGATTTAAGGCGGTTCTATGGTGGTGGATCCAATGGTTGCATGATCAAGGTCACACAGATCGCTGACGTGGCGCTCCTCCATCTCCACCTATAAATAGAGGGTCACTCCCCCCTCTCCATTCATGGTGAAGAAGCCTACAAGCTCAAGTGAAGAGTAGTTAGTCCACTTTATCTTAGTAGTGTAGTCTAGAGTGGGAGTTAGAGTTGAGTAGTGAGCTTTGCTCGGGTCTTCTAGAGCAATCTTCTTATTCAATATATTACTCTTTCTCTAGTTTACTTAGTCTTTACTTTGTGCAATATTATACTAGTTATAGTATTGTTGTGGCTTATCTGGTCATAGAGTTGTTATACACTAGATTGTGATCCTAGAAACACACCTGTATTGCGATCATCGCCTGTCATAGGGTGCTCTAGTTGGCCTCGTAATTACAGCTAGAGTAGTGAGAGAAGGTGTAAGCGTGGTGCTTATACACGATCTTGCCTTTGGTTACCACTTGTTGCACGGATTGTTTATGGTAGCTAGCAGGTGGTGATAGTCTTGTCTAGCCTTTGTATTCCACCATGTGTTGTAGGCAAGTTCTTAAAAGGTAGGGGCACCATAAAAAGGTAGCCGCTTTAGATAGGGGTTTCATCCCCTATTGTCTTGCCTATCTCCTAGCATACTTGTTGTGAGGTATCAATCTATGTGTCTCAATTGTGTGGT